GGGGGGGGGGGGGGGGGGGGGGGGGGGGGGGGGGGGGGGGGGGGGGGGAGCAAAGGTAATAATTTTAATTTTCCCGGTTAGTAATTTATCATACCCACCCCACCACCCTTCCCATATAGAAAACAATACGACATAGGGCTTATCTTATTTATAATATAGGCCACACACGTGTGTTTGAAACTAAATTTAATAATAATATGTCGTTCTTATATTGCGCTTCATGCCTTTACAAAGCCTCTAAGGGCTTCACATCACTACCCGGTCATTGGATCAAACACATATGAGACACATTGAACACCAAATTAAATTATTAAATTAAATTATATTATTATTCTTCCATAATATTGCAGCTAGTAATCAGCGCAGTTGTGCTGGAACCTACCAGGTACCCACTTGGAGGCAACCGTAGATAAAGTGCCTTGCCCAAGGACACAAGCGATTTGCACAGCGAGAGTTTCGAACCCCCGACCGAGGTTGGGAACCCAAGCCACAACAGATGCGCCAACCGCTTCTACTAAATATAAGCATTTTCATCATGGTTTTATTTATTACAAACATATTCTTTCACCATTAATACCGTACACATTGAGGCCCTTCTTTTAAGTTAAAGCGATCTATCTTAAATTTTTCTTTCTTGAGTTTGGGACTATTAAGTGTTTAAATAACTTAAAAGGATGACCCTAAAAAATGCGCGAAAATGTTTTTGTGCTTTTAATTCTAGTTTCGTCAGAATTGATCAAAACTCCCTAAAATGTGCAATTTATAGAGGAATTGGCCTAAGGCAACAGGAAATGAGCGCGAAGCGCGCGAAATTTAAGAATGTTGAGGCACTTTCAGAAGATGAAAAGGGCATTTATCAAAGGGTCTGGAAAGATTTTCCAAAGATGAATATTTTCCCCTTGTCCCCCCGGTGTTTTTAATTCTAATTTCGTCGGAATTGATCAAAACTCCCTAAAATGTGCAATTCTTAGCGGGAATCGGCCTACTTTAACAAGAAATGCGCGCGAAGCGCGCTAAATTGAGATTTTTAGGCACTTTCAGGGGATGAAAAAGGGATTTATCAAGGAGTGGGAAACATTTTCCAAAGGTAGATATTTTTCCCTTGTCCCCGGTGGTTACACCGCTGA